TCTTATTTAATTAAGGTTGTAAAGTGAAAAAATAATCAAACTATAAAGTTTGGTGCTTAGAGTAATTTACCCTTTTTAAAAAAAAAATTGAGGATCAACCTAATATTAGGATATTCTTTTAAGACTATGATAATCTCATAGAGAACAAATCATGAAGCTTGATTCTTAAATTAAACTTTGAATGGGTTGACTCAATATAACTTAATAAACTTAGAAAGTTTAAAGACAACCAAAATGATCGTTAAAAATATAGTTTAATAAAAAAAAAAAACCTCAAGGTGACACATTCTTGTAAATATTGAGATGGAGAAATGTTGAATAACATCTTTTTTTAAAAAAAAATATCAAAAAGATGGCATATTAGATTAACCCAAGACAATTTATGTTAATCTATCAAACTCATAACCAGGATTATAAGATTAGGATAACTTAACAGAAAGTAAATAAAAAAAATTATGAAGCTTGATTTAAAATCATTTAAATATTGAAAAAATAAATTAAAGAATGAACCCAAAGAAAAATGAGTTGAGTTAACCTAGTTTAACCCATTAAACATACGTTTTAGGACACAATCCCATAAAAAATAAAATAAAAAAATTATGTAGCCCAATCCCTAACAATCTCAATTTTAAAAGATGAAATTAACAAAAAACAATAATAGCACTATTTAAGTAAGTAGTGACATTTGAGGAGGTGAGTAATAAATTCACCTCCACTTTTAGTTTATGTTAATAATATAGAGAGTATATTGTTTTAGGGTTTTTTCTCACTTGGTCTCACTCTTTTTCGTCTCTTATCAACATCATCTTTCTCTTATTTTCTGCTATTAATTTTAAACACAATCTTTTTATTTGTGACTGATTACTACTCTCTCTCCCCATGTTTTCTCTTCTCTCAACTAGTTAACATGTTGTTTTCTTGTAATGGATTAATTTCTTTCAAGAACAAACTTTCAACTAACATAGAATTTTGGACTTAGTGATCAATATCGTTTTCATTTTTGGTATTTTTTTGTTTATATCCCTCATCTCTAATCCCTTATATTGAAATACTTAAATTATTTTTAGTAGTGAAATTATTTATGGTAATTGAAGATTTCATTATAGCACCTATATTCTTACCTTATTATTTATTGCAAAAACAAAAAAGAAAAAAGAAAAGAACATGTCACTATTCAAGCGAGCAGTGCCATATAAAAAGGTGAACATTAAAGTAACCTCATCTTTTAGTTTATGTTATTATACAAAGTACATTTTATTATTTTCTTTTAATGCTTTTTCTTCTCTTGGTTAGTCAATATGTTGTTATTTTATGATGAATTGATATCTTTCAAGAAAAAACTTTCAACTAATATAGAATTTTTGATCTAGTGATCCATGCTATTTTTATTTTTGGTGATTTTAGGTTTTTATTCCTCATCTATAATATCTTATGTTGTAATTTGATTTTAATCCTCCGTTTTGATCACCTTTTCTACTTCATTTTAAAACTAAAAAAAATGCAAAAATATATACTTTCCAAGAAAGTTGTATTCGACATAACTCAACAATTTCTTAATTCTTTTAACAATTTTTTATTATTATTTTCGTGTTACAATTTTTCAAAATTTGAGATATCATAAAATATTTCAAAAGAAAAAAAAACAACAACACTTTTCTCTTTCTTACGTCTATAACAAAAAATGAGCAACATTTTTCTTCACTCCCTCACATTTTTTTTTCCTTCATCTCGTCAAAACAAGTCAAATCTCTCTCTCCCCCCCCCCCCCCATGTTATTGTAGATCTAATTGTAACCATAGACCTAGCCTTAAAGTTTGCACAACTTGTTGCAAATTGATTAGTACTTAAAAATTTATTTTTATCAAGATTTTATATTATCATTTTGCACTTGAAGTATCAATAACTCCTTAACTAAAGCATGATTTATAATAACATATCTAATAATATAAGATATCTTTAATTTATGGTAAATGTTTATTTTAAATACATGCCTATTACATAAATGAAAGGATTGATTGATGAGTTTAAGAACTGAAATTGAAAGGACAAAGAGATGGTCAAACTTAGAAAAAAGAAGCTAGTGTAGTCCAAACTGGAACACTGTTTGGTAATTGGGTCATATCTAGAGTTGTAGATCTCGGATTTAAATCTACTTTATATGGATGAAAAGCTAAGATATAGGCCTACAACTTTCATAGGAACCCAAGATTTAAAACAACAACGAAGAAGTCCGAATCTGTCCTGTAACCCGAATATTATTCAGTATTTGGCCCATACCTGGAGTTCTAGAAGTCCAAATGACCTCCATTTTTTTTCCTGGAAAGCTACAATAATTTCCTACAACTTTTATGTTTTCAAATGG